CCATAATTTGAACCCTGCATACAGTACAGGTCCTTCCTACCTCCCTCCTCGTGTAAACAGAATGCCCAGAGACCACAGCTCCAGGACACATGCAGAGTACAGATCTCCTGGCAGATAGGTTCTCACAAATCCATTTCAGGTGGATTTACACCAGTCCCCTTGCTCCTACAAGCCACTGCAGGGATCAAGAAATAGAATTTAGGTCATAAACACCAATATTCTAATTCAAATGGTATTTGTGATTGTAGTGACTCACAGGGCTGGTCCCTACATGGAGGGCATATGCACTTATAGAGGCACAAAAAGCAGCAAATTTGTGCAGCAAATTTGTGCCCCATCACACGCTCTGCATGAGAGTGTCAGTGTGCAGCAAATTGTCCTGGGTAGGGGAGGCTGGCGCCAGCACCTGTTCTGGCCCCATCAGGATTACCTGGTGTCTTGGTGCAGCAGAGCCTGGCCAACAGGCAGTATTGCTCTGGATGGCTAGCCTGCTGTTTGTTCTGGTGCACACTACTGACCAATGCTTTGTGCTGCTTTCTCCTCTGGAGGTTTTGGGTTTTTTTGGTACTGGGATTTCCCAGTACAAATTTTGCCACCCACTGCAAATATGCAGCACAGTGCTCATTTTCACATTCCCCACCTGTGGTTTGTGGTGCCACAAAGTGGTTTGTGGCTCCACAAGCATTATGCCCCTGCATGTGGGGACCCGCCCACAATTATTTATTGCAGCTATCCTTTTCAGTGTGGTTTGATACTCTTCAGTGGGACAAGAGAGACTATTGCAATCTCTTTTGCATACGACACTTCTATCTTTTTTTATTTGAAGGCCACATACTACTTTGAGAACCCACTGCAACCAGTAATGGGATTCATTTTTTTATTCACGAAGGCAGCAAGCAAACGGAGAGAGTAGAAAGGAAACAAGCATCCAACAGTAATTTCTAAAAAAAATCTTCTGGAAAAACAGAGGGAGAGGTACGTTAAAATCAAAGCCACCTCAGCAAAGAATTGTTCAGTTGGTAATCTAGGATGGGTTGATGCTGTATCATTGACTTTCTCTGTCATTTGCCTGTCTGTAAACTAATATGAGTTCCTGAAAGCTTGTCTGGGTGCTGGTGCAATAGAATTTTCTTCTGGATACAAAAATGCCTGGGGTAGGTCTGTCAGTGAGTAAGAGGTGGGGGGACAAAGTATGCCTGCTTGGAGGAAGATTAATATTTGGGCAAGCAAAACAAATTTCACTGGGCAGGCAGGGCCTTGTGGGAATAGAGGGTTGTGATCTAGGGAAGGAGTCAGGTTCAGATTTTGTTAGCCGGGGGATTGAACTGGGCCACTTGTCCCTAGGGCAGGTTGCAGTTACTCAATTAACGTTTTTTCCTTTGAAAACACCACCTAGTTTTCTTCCTGCTTGGCTGCAGATATGGTTCCTCTTCTCTCAAATGAACCTGAGAATTTTCAAAATATTGTGTTAGCAAAAAGGTGATTGTGAGAGAAGACCCAATAGCCTGGTGATGCAGGCACTTGCCAGGAATATGGGAGATTCAAATTTAAGTCTGTCATTTGAATTTGAGCAACGGTTTGAACCCAAATCTCCTGTATCCCAGGTGATTGTTCCAAACTAGGGACCAATGTAAGGTCATATTCTTGCCCTTCCTCCCCCTGCCCAAACCCCCAGGTTAGATGGTAAGTTATATCCTGGACCTAAAACATTTCCAACAAAAGGTTCATTAAAATTAGTACACTTCTGGAAAGTTCTAGTTTGGATAAATCATTATTTTTCCCCATGAATAAAAAGAATGAGGAAAATTTTCCATATTTCATTTCTATTTAGACCTATGCAATGTGTAGCAAATCAGTGGCAGGGGAGTGCTGATGGCACCCAATTATATTATACTCTAATGGACTGGATGGCATAAATTATAGTTTTGAAAAAAATAAATTACATTTAAAAACAGAATAGTTGAAAGAAAAACTCCTTTCTAAAACTTGTATATAATCCTTTATTTATTTATACACTCAAAAGCTACATTTATTTATTTATGTATACACTGTAAATTGAATACCTTATCACGAGTAGCAGTTTTATTACTTAAAATATATTTATTACTAGCATACCGAAAACACATTATAATTTTCTTCATTAAAATGTTTGACAAAACAAATATAATAGGAAGTGCTTACAAAGTATTTTATTACAGTAGTACCTACCAGACTGAGGCCTCTTGGTACAATGCACACACACATAATAGACATAGTCTCTGCCCAAAAGAGCTTACAATAGAAACAGAAAGCTAAAGTGGAAGAAATAGTATTATTGCCATTTCCCAGAAGAGAAACTGAAGCATAAAAGAAAAATAGTCTTTTGCATGGCCATAAACTGATCTACAGATCTCTTGAGTCCAAGTCCAGGGCTCAAAGCACAAAGCAACCCTCCTTCTCAAAGGAAAATCTCCAGATTTAACCCTACTTTCTATTCTTGTATTCTCCATTAGTTGTCCTCTAAGAGCCCAATTGTGGGGTGAGATTGGATATGCCCCCCAACAGTATAGAGTCTAACCTAAACTCTTGTCCAAATTTATTTGGGCCTCTCTGGAATACTCATCCTTGCTTCCTTTCCCCTCTATTTTCCCACCCTGTTCCCCTCCACACACAAATAGTCTTTTTCCTGAGGTTGACAGAGCCTTTGGTCTGAAGTACTACCTGAATAGTCTTTAGGTCACAATCCAGATCTCAGTGGTCACAGCTACACACAACATTTACTGTGGAACTGTCTAATTAGCTCCACAGGAAAGTCTCAGTGTCTATACATGCTGCCCTATTAGGCTGCAGGAAACTAATTTACTCTGTTGCAGGTTAGTACTTTTAAATCTAAGTACTATATACCAGCATTTTTAATGCACAGCAATGCATATGTAGACACTGACAGGGCTGGCTGGGGCACAAGGGTGCTTTAGTGCGGAGCTGCCTGCCACCTAGCCCTGCACTGGAGCACCCTTGTGCCCCAGCCAGCCCCTCCACAGCATGTTGAGCCAGGTTGAAGCAGCCCTGGGCTAGCAGATTGACCCCTTGGGCCCTCTGCCAGCTGGGGTTGTTGAGACCTGGCTCAACATGCTGCCATCCCAGGCACATTTGAAGACGTGACACCCAGGAGCAGTAAAGTCCTGCATGATATGCGCTGGAGTTTTTTCGTTTGCATTAATTTCATGTGTAGATGTGCCCAGTGAACCTTAGCAGTATCTTTTTTCATTTCTGCTTCTGATTCTAGTCATGTATATTAATGTTTCAGAACCATAAAACATTTTAGTTTAATTCTTCAAATGAAAGAAAGAAGGGTTTGTTTGGTTTTTTTTTGTTTGTCCCCTATTCTGTCCTGTACCATCTCAGCAGCATCATTTGATAACTCATTACAACTGCTGTGGTACTCATGGTATGGTGTTAAATTTAACCATTTAAATATCACTGCTGAAAGCCTGATCTTGCAAGATTCTGAGTGAATCATGGTGATGATAAGTGCTCCAACTCTCACTAACTTCAGTAGGACTGTATATGTTGGGCAATCTGCAGAAGACTCCTAGGACTGGGAGAGTAAAGCTCTGAATTAGAATTGAATTCTAACTGAATTCTGTGAAGGAAAAATGTTTTAAAATTGTGGCTGTGGAAATCTTTAAATCTAGCCTAATACACACTCAAAGTACTAATGAATTAATAAGGATGTTCACTTATATACACTTACAGCCCCTCAACCTGCAAATCTGGGTCAAATGGCTCATGCATGCAGATGGCTTTGCATTGTTGGGGTCATGCTGATTTTACTGGGACTACTCGCATAAGTAAATGTTACATATGGGAGAAATGGTTTGAAAAATCTGGCCTTAATTTAGGTACAATTAAAAATGGAAAATGGGTTATAAATGAACAAATTTTGATTGAGCAGTTATGTTTCATGTGTGTGTGAACATGAACTAAATTTACAGTCTGACCTCTATTAATTTTAAAACTTTAATCTTACATTATTCTGAACAAATGATGTGTTTTTAACTGATCTTTATTTATACTGTAGATGAAGTTAAGAATTACACTTACATACAGAGTACATACAAAGCGGTTGTGCTATAAAACTGTAGCTTTGGAATTGTGTATATGAACAGCTGATGGAAATGTATAAGGTAAATCTGTATTTAGAATTCTCTGGATGTATGTACATTACTGTAAATTTTTTCAAATATATCTATATGAGTTAGTGTCACAATTCAATGAGAATTGGAAACCTGAATCGCTTGTGGCTTTAAAAAACAAACAAAATACTTTTGCCACTACTCAGAGGGATAATATGATACTTCAGAAACTCATTGCTCTGTATATGTATATGTCTGCTAGGCACACACGCATGCAGAGTCAATGTCAAAGTTGCCTTTGCAAATCCCATGCTGATCAAAGTCACAGTTGCCTTTTCTAATCCCATGCTGGTCTATTATGAAAATTCTGTCCCATATTTAACTATATTGAGAACTTGATGGTTAGATAAAGGAAATAATCTAGGGATTTGTGTAAGGCTCTGGGATGCTGCTTTGGTATCTGAATTATATTGTCTGTCTTCCCTCTAGGGAGGGGAAAAAAGTCAAACAAGTTTTTAATCTGTGGCAATACCACAGAGCAGTGTGGGGCATGCTGATTTTAAATATTGATTTTTAATGTGCAATTAAACTTCAAAGGTGGGGTTACACTAATAATTATCATCAAATTTATCTCAGATCCATGTTCTAGTGTATACTTTTAGACAATGTGGCAAGTTTCTTTATCCAAATTATAGTCATCTCTTTTTAAATAACTTAGTTTTTATGCACATAGACTGATATTGTTCCAGATCTATGTTTCTAACTTGCTACTTAATTAGGCAAATGACTTGTAGAAGTAAATGGAAATTCTATTAAAGTGCATGAGCAATGCACCCAAAATGTGTTTCAATATTTTTTTGTTTTATTTTTTTCCCCCTTTGAAAGCTTTGATACTTTCCTGGAAAAAGAAGGTTCATCTTCAAGGCTTGATACATTCTTGCTATTGTACAGTAATGTTTCAGACCGGTGTGCTTATGTTTCCGATTCCTGTGAAGTTCTCTTTGCAACAGGGCGTGCCTTGAATCACATCAAAAGAACCAAGTTCTACAAAAGAAAAAAAGAAACTCAAGTAGGCTTGAACATACAAAGAGAGAGAGAAAGAGAAGAGAAAAGGGCTAGGCAGTGTTGAATACAAAATGAGTTAGCCAACCCCAGGAGTCCTTCATCACTTACATTTATCTTATTCTGGGAGAGTAGAGCTAAACCCAACCCTGACACAAACCACCCACTGCCTTTGACTTTGACTCTGCATGCATGTGCGTGCATAGCGGATATATACATATATAGAGTAATGGGTTTCAATGAAGTATTATATTTTCCCTTTGAGTGGTGGCAAAACAGTTTTTAAAAAAGAAGCCACAAGTGAATTTAAAGATAGCTACTTTTAATTTCAAAGAACACTGTAAAGCATTCTAGTTGCAAAAATGAGCATGTTTAATCGTCTCTATTTTTCATGAGTGTTTTAGCTGGAGGCAATACCAACATGCTGGCTTGTCTGAGATGAGTCTGACAACTTCTTACTCTGTCCTCCCTTGTGTAAAGTATTTGTTTAGGTAATTGCAAAAGCTTTAAATATCAAGCAAATCAAAGAATACATCCATTCACTTTAGTAGGAGTTTTACGTACTCAAAGAATGGAGAATAGGTCCTTTGTAAGTTGGGTAAGGAGAGATATGTAAAAGCATGTATCTAGGGATAGAGATAGAGAACAGTCAGCTCCCACTGAAGCTGACTTCTATGTTTGCTAATATCAGAGCTGGATCTGCTGTGTCACCAATTGAGATGTGATCCAATATCATGCACAATAACACTGTCTTTACTGGAAACTGAAGGTTCTCAGAATTTTCCAGGATCAGGTCCGGAATTAATATGTAGTTTCTAAAACTGAATCCAAGTGTATAACTTAACTTTAAAATAATCTATTACTGTTTTAACAGTTTTTCCAAACTGCAGTAGGAGTTTCATGTAACTAAATGTTCAAGAGAGGCCCAATCTGTCATTAGTTCTACAGCTATATATGTTAGGAGAAATAACATATCCTTTGTCTCTAAGGCCCTGAGGCTAGGGATTTTATTAACAACCCTACCTGTGTCCCTATCGATCAGAAGTATCACACGTATTTTGCAACATACACAAGACCTGGCAAAGCTCCCATTTCCTTTAAGGATCTGACCCAGCATCTATGTATCAAATCACTTTCAGTCCCAATGCCCTCAATTCTGCAAACATTTGTGCACATAATTACTTGAGTCTCTGAAATTAATATTGTTGATTTCTAAGGGATTACTTTTACAAAATAACCCTGTATTTAAGTTTTAAGTTGTGACTCAGGGGACACAAAAATGATCAGAAGGAAAACAATGACATCAATAAGACTATAATTGGTTAATAAAAGCTATTGTACAGCGTGGCAGAGAGAAGTCTTGTTTGTAGATATATATGCAAATAAATCTTTGACCTCAGTTCTAGCATAGCTGTTGACTTTGTCATTAGTTTTTTATCCCATCCCTGTTAGAAAATTCATGTATACGAATGTAGCAGGAAAGCTCAGTGAGCAAGAAAGTAAATGCTTGTATTAAAAACAAGAATTGAATACCAACATAGATTTTTCAATAAATTTTAGAATCTAAATCTGCAATAAATGGTAACTTTCCATGTCCTCATATGCTGTGCAAACAGGTTATTGTGCAAGACAGGCAAAACCAGTGCCTCGAAAGGTAGTAAAGTTCAAACACATTAATAAGCCTTCTCCATTTCATTACTTTGCCATGATGTTGTTCATTACTTTTAGCCCATGCTGGAGTTTGGGGTATCTGTGGGCACACATACATGTTTAATTAAAGTGGCTGAATATACTCCAACTCAATATGAGCTGGAGTAAACTAATCCTGATGTCACCATCTACACGTGCATTTAAGTTCAGTAATTTACTGTGCTGTCAGATATCACTTGTATCTGATGGGACTATCCAGCAGCACAGTAAATTAATCTTCTGTGCTCTAATTTCTGCACACATGTAGACTTGATACTTTACTGGACAGCAAAATAGTCTGCTACGCAGTAAAGTATCTTGTGTAGATGTGCCCGTATTATGCTTTCTCCTTCCCTTCTTAGCTTGAAAATTCTTTGCCTGTTCCAAAAAACATGTTTGTCTTGGGGGTCATACTATGCCCCTAGTTTTATGCTAAATCATACTGTTCACTTGAGTAAAGCATTTGTAGAGTGTGGATAATCTTGTGGTTAATGACACTGTGTTGGGTTTTTAAATTAAAAGTGCCAATGTAAATATGCCAAGTTTAATTTTTTTTCTTAGAAGTCACTTTGGGAGCTGTTCTAACTTGAACCCCAAAAAAGATTTCAGTGTGACAGAGAGAAATCTGTCACACCAACTTTTGTACATCATCTTGAGTCCAAACTAATCATTTCCTTTTTCTTTTAAGCAATCCTGAGAAAACACTTGTGAGTTTTATTTGTTGTTTTAAAAGTAGGCCAGGCTAGTTTTGAAGTCATGTGACACTTTATAAAGCATCACCCAATAAAGGATTTGGACACCTGAATTCTGCATAAGTCCAAAACTGCCTTCCAAAACCCCCCACCACTGGTGGCAAGACTCCATAGATGATTCACTCTTTAACTTCAAGGTTACCCAGGCACCAAGATTTACATTTTTGTGCATGTCTAGGCATTAACAGGGCCCATCACATGCCTAAATCTAACCAGGGTTCAGAAACAAGGCATTCGCCATCTACAGTCCTTGAGGGACTCTGTTGGACAAGCCCAGTAGATACATAGATGGGACTTGGCTCCTTCCAATCTGCCATTTTAGAACACATTCAGAGGAGGAAGAAAAGACAGCAGGGCCTATAGATTGATGAATCTGGCATTCTCCTGAGAGTTGTGAGTTTGAATGTGTTTGGGCAGAGGAGGAGATTGAACCTTTTTCAATTCCTGCATGAAGGAACCGTGAAGCTATGATGAAGGGGACCAGATCATAAAAAAAGTGTCCCGTGCTTAGCTAATGTGCTTACCTTTAGGAGAAGATTGCAGGTTGTGAATCTCTGGGGGATGAAGGCACATAAAGGCAGGGTTTCAGAGGAGTGCCTGTGCTTATCACATTATCTTGACTACCCACAAGCAGCTTCTGACTCAGAGGGGTGGCTATTGTGGATCCAATTCTGAGGTGCCTCTTTCGTGCATTTTATAGAGCGCCTGGACAGCTAACATGAGCTTCTGGGTACTACTCTTGGCCAGGTACCTTAAAGTTAGGGATTGCAGTGCCTAACAAATGCTGTCACCAGAATTTTATCAGATCTGGTCTTTAACAAGTTTCTCTTCTTGAACAACTTGGATGGCTCTACAGGAGATTCTTTACTGTGCCTTAGACTATGACAGCTGCTTCTGTCTCCTTGGGCTTGGGGCCAGCCCTGATCTCCCCATGGCTGGTAAGGAGCTGCCCACAGAACAGGGACATCTCCCCACCCCCTCTCCACCACCACACAGATTGGGGCTTCCCCCAGAGCTGAGACAGCTAGGAGCTGGCATCTGGGGAGCCTGGAGCTCCCCCTGGCTGCTGCAGGGGGCAGAGCAGGGCAGGAGTAGCCCTGGGTTGAGCTGGGCTGGGCTGAGCTGCTCTGTTAGGAACAATTTGCTCCCAGGGCAGGTGCATGTGTAGACATGTGCCCAGGAGTGCTTTAATGAGCTTGAATTTTCTACAGAGAAAATTCAGGCACATTAATTGCATGTGTAGACACACCCCTTGCTCCAATAAAAGCTAAAGAAGGACTAGTTCCAGTGGGAGTGATGTTCATGGAGTTCATAGGAGTGTTAGCTTAGAAATTAAGCCCAGAAAAGACTTCAGGGACAGGAGGCTAGGAGTTCAAGCAGAAGGCAGCCCAGAAAAGAAGGGTCAAATTCAGATGGAACTATCAAGGGGGTTTTGCATACAAAGACCATGGGGAATATAGCTCTATCTTGAAGGATGTTTAATTGAAATAGGTACAGGAATGCACAAACTTTCCTCTTTAGCAACAAGGGTTTGATGGGACTGCTCAGTCAAGTGAAGAATTGTGACGTGTTCGGCTTTCGTGAAACTGAAAAGGATACAAATTTTTACTGCATTTTAGCCAGGGAGTTATATACCATTGTATGACTGTCCACAAGGGTGGAAGGGTACATTCCTTTAGAAGAAACTGAGACACGGACACGTGACCAGCACTAATAGACTAATGTCATGAAGCTTGGAAGCACAAGGTGGGAAAAAGGTACTGAATGACTCTTCTTAACAGAGGGGACTTGTAGCCCCTCCCCCCCACACATATGAACACATTCAAACACATGTACACACACTTTTAAAAAGGAAGTTTTGCAGAATACCACCAGTTTATCCCATGCTTGCTTTTCTCCAGAGGGCAGGTGGCTTCTCCCGCAACTGGAAATGTATGGCATGTTTGTTCCAAAGTGCTGAACAGGTGCTGAAACTGGCATAGCAGACACAGAGTTTCAGATGCTCAGCATCTCTCAGTACTTCATTCTTGGTATTAAACGCCTGTTTCTTGAAAAATAAATTATCTTGTTAGTGGAAAGCCTTACATGCAAGGAAGGAGAAATGGGAAAAAGTGTGTGCGCTTATTAGACAGAGAAAATGTATTAGCTACAGAAAAAGGGTGGGGCCACTAAATGATGTAGGCACCAAAACGCAAAATGTAGGTCCTCAAACACACTGCTTTTCTCTTTTCTATTACATTTGTTTATTTGATTTCTATGCCACCCTCCCTTTAAAAGGCTCGGGGCACCCTGCAATATAAACAAGTCATAAGAACAGATAAGACAATCCCCTGGACTCCAGGCCAAACCTTAAACATGCCTACTAAGAGCCTGCCCAAATAAGAAGGTTCTAAACTGAACATAAGGCAGGGCAGGGTGGCACCTTAAACTATAAGAGCCTGCTTCTGAAAGATGTTGCCAAAACTCCATGGGCAAAAGAAATCGGGCATGAATCTACATCCTAAACTTTTGGACTTTCATCTCTGAGAGACAAGTTGCCTGCATTCCAGTTCCTGCTCCAGTGAGTGTTTTAGATATTCTGGAAAAAATGTCCATCCACTTTCGTTGCCTTTTTCCCTTCTTTCTCTGCCTCTTTTCTTCTCTCTGCCTCCCTCCCCTGTGAAAGGGGTTGGAAGGATGGAAATAGGCATCTAACTCAAGGAGAGGGATTAACACTGTTAATCGCAAAAAGAAGTAGGCACCTCCCTGTATCCCCATGAGAGACTGAGGTACCTAAATCCCTCTTGTCTATCTGAAGCAATTTCCTGCTACTGTTAGCTTCCTGTAGATATGAGTCTAAGTATAGCAACTATGTGATTCTGGTTCTAATGCTCCTCATCTACTGTACAGGAGAATAAGCAACTAAGGGCAGTGGGTTCCACTAAGCAGGTGGGTGCATTTTTTGTTGCTGTTTTATTTTGTTTAAAGAAAAAAAGACATCAGAATGTTCAGCCTTGTGACAACCACATTCTTTAGTAGAGCAAGTTAAAGTCAACCAAATCATCTTTGTCGTAACATCTCTCTGACACATGAATTTTTGGTACAAATGAATCATGTACGTGGTGTTCTACTTCTATGTATACTGAAATCATGTGAGAATAGCAGAATTGGGTCCTTAGCTGAAAGAGATATAAAATCCCATGGATGTAGGGAGTTTCCTACTGAAACAGGAATGGGCTTAAAATGGTAACTTATGCCAGCTAAGGTCAGAGTCGATTTAAAATCCTTCATTTTATCTGTTGCCTTCAGAAAAATCTTAGACTGCAGCCCTTCATAGACCTGTAACTTGGGAAACAGTTTTACAGGTTCTCGTATTCATTGTGTATGACTTTCCTGCTCCATATTTCTGTATCTGCCATTATTTTTCCCTGGTTTTGCTGGGCTGAGCCTTCAATTTTTCAAAGATACATATGTGATCTGAAAGCTACTTTGAATCTTGCTCCTTTGCACTCTGGAGAGGTGTGGGTTTTTTTCTCCTGTGGAAGCAAGGATAGCTGTTGTTATTATTGTCGTTGTTGTTGTCATCATCATCGTTGTTGTTCCTTTCGATATAAGAATTAGGCTTTGGATTCTTGTGAAATTGCCTTTTCTCGAGATTTGTCATTGTTTAGTCTTCTGGTACAGAAAATCAAAGCAGGAAAGAAATAGTTTCCAGATACTTCTAGTGCCATGCAGCCCTCCCTGGAAACCTATGCATTATTTGATTATACAAACAATACTCTAAAAGTGATTACTTACTTAAGGAGTTATATAATGGTTTCACTAAATCAAAGCCAACTTTCGGACATACATGCTTGGCCAAATTATGATATTATAGCAACTACATGAAAAGGATCAAAGCAAACATGGGAACCAGGTGAGAGGCTAACATTGCCCATTCGGACAGCATTAAAGGGTGAGGCCTCAGTGTCAACTATACTTCCATCTTTCCACGTGTTAGGGTGAAATCCATGGAAAACGTGAAGGTAGAATTTTACAGGCAGCTTAACTGTCCCTGTCTTCCCCCACTAAGGGCAGAAAGGAGTGGAAACTGGTTTGCTATAGGGTTCCTCTAAACTGATTATCTAGGTAGCTAAGTAATTTTAGCTGTCTTTTAGTTTTGTAAAAGGAAAAAACAAAAGAATGTAAACATCACATTGATTTAACTTGCAGAGGGAGAAAAAATAGAATTCCACCAGTTTTCATATTCTTGGTCCCTCTCTCTCTGGTTAGCAGATGAGTTCCCCACAGATAGTGCTGTCAGATAAGAAAACATGCAAGAATAGACCACGGGGTGCACACCTATTTTGTTAGCAAGTCTCTGGCTCTAGGGAGAGGTTTGTTCCTTTTTCCCACCCTGCCACCAGTGACTGCAGACTTGAGCTGGTCCCTCTCTCCTTCTTTTGAATGTGTCTGTCTCTCCTGAGGGCTGTTGGCTGTAGCTGTGTTGGTCTAAGGACACAGGCAGACCAGGTTCTTTGAGTAAATACAATATCTTTTATCAGACCAACTAAATAAATTGTTCTTTGCAAGCTTTGGGGCACAACCACCCTTCTTCAGGCACAGAGCGATTTCTCCCTGTGCCTGAAAGCTTGCACCCAAAAGCTTGCAAAGAACAATTTTCCTAGCGATTTAGTTGGTCTAATAAAAGAGATCGCATCTACCAAAAAAACCTGGTCTGCCTGCGCTGGTTTCCTCCCCCTTGCTTTCTTCTTCTCCTAACTTCCCCACTACTTTCTGCTGGCTACCTGAGCGCTTTTTAGCCGGGTGGCGCAAGTGCAGGGACAGCCTAGGCTGCTCCCACGGAAACCGTCCCAGGAGCTGAAGGGACTGGAAACCCTAGCGGTCCTGGGGGAGAAGAGCTGAGCGTCCCTGCCAGGTGCCCGCCTGCGCCTGAGGGGGGGGTTCGGCTCTGCCCCCCGGCGGGCGCCGGGCAAGTCCGTGGAGGGCAGGGGCAGCCCCGCCCCGCGCTGCCTGCCTCTGGCACTGGGCCCGGCCCGCGC